ATGTATTGGAATTTCCTTTTGAATATGTTGGCTCCCTTTGTTACCGAATAAAGTTTCTATCTTTCATGCTCTTTGACACGGATCACCATTCAGTCTTTTGTAGTTTCCAGGTGTCTTTGAATACCGATTGTTTTGGTTTCCTAAGACAGTTCTTGTTGAACTAATTCTATGCCTCCTTCGTATCTGGACACATATAGACAACCAACATGAGCCTTAGAATGATACCTGCTATGGCAAGTGAGAATCTTTCTCATTTTGACATCCATTTACTTAATGTCAGCTATGGTCCAATTAAGGATGTTGAATCCGTATTGCACCACAGAGACATCCAAAGTGATTTTGGCTGATATCTTCTACATTACAGTCTACAGGAACTGCTATATCAATATGAATATACATTCTCTTTTTATGGTCTTGGCCCTCTATTTCTCAGCTATTAGCTCTCATTATTATTATTATTATTATCATTATTATTATTATTATTATTATTATTATTATTTCCTTTGATTTCTGGCGTGTACACATTTCTTTCCGGATCCCGCCCAGAGACCTAAGGTTAGAAATGACATCATGACACTTTTCCAAAAAAAAAAAAAAAAATTATATAGATAAAGCCATCCGTAAAGTGTGGACTGTACTTGTCAAAACAATTTTTTTTTTATCTCTGTGTGGCATGGACTTCCAGGAATCCCTTCAATTAGTCTATTGGAATCGTTTGCAACCGATCTGAGGGCTCCAACTACAACAGGGATTGTTGATGTTCGCATGTGCCACATTTTTGAGATTTCTATTTCAAGGTCCTTGTATTTTGACAGCTTTTTGAATATCTTCAAAGATACATTGCAGTCTGCAGGGACTGCCATATCAATAATGAGGCACTTTTTTTTTTGTTTGTGGTCTTTAATAACAATGGCTGGGCGGTTGGCTTTGATTGTTCTGTCAGTGTGTATTGTTTAGTTCCATAGAATTGTAACAGGTCCTATCTCCGTAACCGGGTCTGGGTGGTATTCATACCAGTTTCTTTCCCGTACAAGTTGCAAATTTTCCAGTGCAGATATTGGCCCACTCTGTCATGCCGGGTTTTATACTCAGTGAATGCCAATAGCATGAAACCTGATACAAGATGATCAATTGTTTCTGGATATTTATCACAAAATCTGCATTTTGGTCTAACACAGTATTTTAGTATTTTAGCATATGTGCTTGATAATTTCTAGTCATTATTATTATTGTTATTATTATTATTATTGCATGCATGTGTATGTCCATAACAGAAGTGTATGGAGCACGTCACTGGGAACCGAATAATATTATTTAGCTTACATTACCAGCACTTTCCTCAGTATTTCAACTGAAAAATGAAATACCGTGGTGTGGATATTTTCACATTTTCCTCTAATCTACATTACTTTTAAACACAATTCTAACTTCTTGTTTTGTTGTGTGGTTCAAAGTGAGACTGTTATTATGAGTACAATCTTAAATTTAATATTTCATAGCACATAATAATAATAATAATAATAATAATAATAATAATAATGATAATAATTGTTATTATTATTATTATTATTCCATTTAAAAAACGCCTTTTGAGACAATTTTCACAAAGCAAAGTAATTTTTCGAAGCAACCTAAGTGTTAATTAAATTTCTCGGGATATGAATTTCTAAGTGCTATTTTTGCTCTCGATGCCATCTTATATATTAGTCTTCTTGGAATCTGCCCAGGAGAGCTGTTAAAAAAGTTTTCAGAATTCCGAGCTCTATTCAAAGACAAAAATTGGTAATTATTCGCATCTCAGCGTTCTACATTCGCTATATGGCGATCTTTTAGATTTTAACATTTGATTATATTTCGCATTATTTTTTATTTTATTTTATTTCATAAGTGATCTCTTTTTATCCACGATTGATTTGGTAGTAGAAGTTAAACCTTTTCTCCAGTCACGCTAGGGTTTATAACCCTGTCAGCAGCAGCACCCACTTTTCAGATATTTCGGGTATTAGCAAAAAGAAAAAAAAAGATACTGGAAGTATGCGTTCTGCGTATTCCAAGAGTTTAGCTCACTTTTATTTGGTTCAAGGTCGAGATAGGACGCTAAAATTAACGCTGCGTGCAGTCGAAACATATGATTTACACTATGCATATCACACGCGCATTAAACTCACTAAAAAAACAAGTTCATCCTTCTTCATCCTTATTTTCATCCTTCTTTCGTTGGGCCATATGTCTCTTGGCTAAATGTCCATCGGCCAATTGTCCGTTCGGCCAAATGTCTCTCGGCTAAATATCCGTCGGCCAAATGTCCGGCCACGATATGGAGTAAGAAAGATTCGTCTCCCTGATACATCGACTAATAATGTAACACATACTCATTAATCTCTATCAAACAAACCAACACATTCAAAATAATATCTTTTAGAAAGATAATCGCCAATATCTGAAGATTAGCTAGCTACACAATGTGCAACTTGAAGCTGAGAAGCGTTGATAATAAATATTACTGCGAATGCTAGTCATTATTAAATCTAAATTCAACATCTCTCCTGCGCAAATCAAATATAGACCTCATAAAAGATGCCAAAATCCGCACTTACATATACCTTGAGAAAATACATGTAATGAACACTATGACCACTTATTTATTCGCTTCGTAAAATAGACAGAAAGCCGTGACATTTTCATTTCAGTAAGAACCATAAATTATGAAATATGATAGTCATACCAATTATAATTGTTAGCTAATTAACAAGCTTGTGTAGATGGATGGCAAATGGGTGTTGGACTGATATTAAAAGAAATTTCTGAGAGATACATTACTAGGAAGTTGTGGAAAGCCATGATCGTTCATGCCCTGAAGGGACACAGCCGATAAAAGAAAATTATTATTATAATTATTTTTTTTCTTTCCTTTGATTTACGTTTTATATTCATTTCTTTCCAACCAGAGATCTAAGGACAGAAATGGCTTCATGACATTTTCGGCTGACCATTTTGTATTTACCCCCTCCCAAAAAAGAAATCTCAGATCACATGTTTTAAATAGATAATGTTGTTCGTAATGTTTGAGCTGTACGTGTGAGTACAATTCCTTTGTATTTCTTTAATGCGTGGGCTACCAGTAATCCCTTCAATGAGTCTCTCGGACCCTTTTCCAATCAATCCGGAGGCTCCAACTACAACTGGAATTACTGATGTCCTCATGTGTCAGATTTGTGAGATTTCGATTTCAAGATCCCTGTATTTGATAGTTTTTCGAAGATCTTTAAAGATACGTTATAATCTGCAAGGTCTGCCATGTTAATAAGAAAGCACCCTCTGTTTTTGTGGTCTTTGATAACGATATCTGGGCAATTAATTTTGATTGTGCTTGTAATGACAACAGTACGCAGGTGTAGGCTTTAAGAAAGCTTTATTCAACTGAGAATACAAGGTTCGCGTATAGTGTCCTTTTACAGTCCCAGTAAACAGAAATATCCCTCTCAAAGAGGAGAGTAATAACACAAGGGGAGATCACTCTTGATTATTCATGTCGCTGCTATTTGTGTGTATTTTTTAAAGTCCCATAAAATTGTCACACGTTCTATTTCTGTAACCGGGTCTGGGGGGATGTTCATACCAATTTATTATTATTATTATTATTATTATTATTATTATCGGAACTATGCTAGAAGTCTAGAACTGATTTGTTGAAAAAAATGGATATTTGAGGAAGAGTTAAAATTGTCTATACCACTGCTGGTATAGTTAGGCAAGAATACTAAGGAAGGTGCTTGTGATCTGAGATAACTTGCCATCATATGATACTTAGAGTTGATTACCAAGATGATTACCACGCGTATTCAAACACAGAATACAATGAGATAAAGAAAACTAAAATACAGAGCCTTATCCTTCACTTCTTAAATCAAGGTTTGTTTTTTTATTGAAAAAACTCTTCTTCAAACCAATATATAAAAAAAATTACTTTTATGCCCACTCTTCGTTTTTTGCACATCACTCCAGACAGTGAAGGTAACGCATGTGAAACTTGTATACAGTGCGATTACCGAAGCAGCCTCTTGTTCGAAAGTTAATTTTCCGTTAGAATGCACATTCATAGGGTGTGGTGGAGTGTTGGAAAATACTAATGTTTATCTTCATACTGCTTCATTTCGGAGGGGGGGGGAAATCACCAGGTGAAATGCTCCTTTTACTAACCTGCCAATCTATTGACAGGGTGTTCAATCCCTAGCCATTATTCCAGTAAATAAATAGATTATTATTATTATAAATAATCATAATAAAAGCTGCTTTGTGTCAGATTTAGTTTAATGTACGTAGGGAGAAAGGGATGTAAGCGTCAAAAGATCTACCTTTTAATTTCTTTAGGTTTGACAACACACCATCGAGAGAGAGAAAAAAGAACCGGTTAGTTTCTGCTAACAAAATAAAAGTACAATGCATACAAATATATTAAAAAATGATTAAATAAACAGAAAAGGATAAATGATTTGTTTGGATCTCGGGTTCGATATTCGACAAATGCAGAACTCAAAGAGAAAAACGTAAACATCTCTCGTTCGAGTACTCACTATTATCAAAACTATCTTCATCATTATTCGACTGTATCATCGAGCCACATAAAATTTATTTAGTTGTATAGTATGTGCTACGCTAGGACAACATACAGATTTGAATACAGAATTACTTTCTCCTAGACCGTTTGCCATCCAAGGCTATAGAAACTAGGGCTATAGGTCTGTCCTGTTATTTAACCATAGCTGGGGAAGGTGGAGAAGAGGATTCATACCTTTTCGAAGAGCATAAGAACGTAAGCTAAATATCGAACTTGGCTCTCTGATTCCTCAATCCGAGCCACTATCCTTTACGCCACCGTGCCTCCTCATATGGAACTTGAAGACAATCTTATATAGATTTTTGACATTAGTTTAGGGATTGTCATTTTAGTTGAAAAATTGTCGTATATTGATGAAAATTAAAAAAAACACAAACAGTCTTACGGCCGCATCACGTTGAAACACCGGTTTCCATACGATCACCGAAGTTAAGCAAAGTTGAACCTGGTCAGTACCTAGATGGGTGACCGCTTGGGAATATCAGGTGCTGTAAGCTTGGATGTAGGGGTAGTGTAATGGATAATGATTTGGAATTGTTAATCGAAGAGGCAAATTCCAATTCCCATTGTGTTCGTTATATTTACTTACGCTTAAATATCGTTCGGAAAGGTACGAATTCATCTCATTCCCCTCTGACTATGGGTTAATTAGTAAGACTTGTATCATTAAAAAACATATTTATCTCAAATAAATAAATAAAATAAAATTGCGTACGTAATAGTTAGATTTCGGTATCAAATAATCCGTAGAGGGGTTGATATGCTGCTGAACAAAAGAGACAATAGACAAAAAAAAGAGGGAAACAAAATAAGAAAAATATTTATTCTATTGAGAACTTTTTCATGTAGAGAAAATTCGATGATAATTCCTGAAAAAGAATCAAGCACATTTCTTAAGACAGTCTCTGTAAAAAGGAAGAAAAAAAAGGATGAAAAAATGATGAAAAATAAATGAAAAGAGGATAAAAAGGATGAAAAAAGGATAAAAAAGGATGAAAAAAGGATAAAAAAGAATGAAAAAATGGTGAAAAAAAGAATGAAAAAGGATAAAAAATGAATGAAAAAAGGATAAAAAAGGATGTAAAAATGAATGAAAAAAGGATAAAAAAGGATAAAAAAGAATGAAAAAATGGTGAAAAAAGAATGAAAAAGGATGAAAAAAGAATGAAAAAATGAATGAAAAAAGGATAAAAAAGGATGTAAAAAAGGATGAAAAAAGGATAAAAAAGAATGAAAAATGGTGAAAAAAAGAATGAAAAAACGAAAGGATAAAAAAGGATGAAAAAATGAATGAAAAAAGGATAAAAAAGGATGAAAAAAGGACAAAAAGGATGAAAAAAGAATGAAAAAACAATGAAAAAAGCATAAAAAAGGATTAAAAAAGGATGAAAAAAAGGTGCAAAAAAAGGGATGAATGATAAAGCAAGCAATATAAGTGAAGGCTTAAAGAATTGGACGCTGTGAAAAAAAAAAATTTACAGAGAAAAAAGCAAACAATAAATTGAATTAACAACTCCTGTCCAAATAACCAAATGATCAAAAGCAGAAACAAATCATAGATTTATTTATGGTCACCGCGGAATGTAAAGCCACTAAGCAAGTGTCTTTAATGACTTACCCGGAGGAAATTGAAACTTTAAAGATATTAAGGACATAATTTTAAAGATTATCCAACCAAAAAAAAAAAATGATTGGTCATTGCTGAAAGGACTAAATTTCTAGCGTTAAGACAAGAGTCTGGAGAATCTATAAGGAAATATCTCAGTTGACTAAGAGATACTAGTAGGTATTGTAACTTTAATGAACTTGGTTATATAAACTTTGGGGAAAAATATGGGCTTGCCCTAATGAACATAATGCAGAAGCAGTCTGGACTACGCAGGAAGTAGAACTGATGAAAAATAAACCAGAAGAAACATGAGCGGGAATCCCAGAAGAAGATGCTGAGCATGTACACAACTGAAATCTCCAGGAATTGATCAAATTTCTAGCTTTTGGCTTCATTATCTAAATACGATACACAAAGAAATAACTAACCAAAGAACTTCAAGAAATAGTCAATGATCCTAAAATTCCGACATAGGTAAGCAAAGGAATTACCTTCCTTCTACCCAAGAATGATGAAACAATGTCCCAAAAAACTATAGACTTAGTGATTTTCCAAGCGCAGCTTAGATGCGGCACAATGCCGAAAGTATGGGGCACCCAGTGAGGGTAGAACTCACTACTCAGTCGTAATTGTTTTAGCGAGACAAGCTTGCTAACCATTACACCACCTCGAAGCGCCCTATATAATAATAAAAACAAACAAACAAACTATAGACTTATTACATGTCTTCCCCACTACTTGAAAACTGTAGCCATCTAATCTGACAAATTATTCCTTCTTCGAAAAAATTACATACTAACTCTTGAACAAAAATGGTGCAAACATGGCTCTTACGGGCGCAAAGACCAATTATTTATTAATAAGATAATCTTGGAAAATATAATTATATACAAGGTTTGACTCGTCATCATCAAATTCATCAAACAAAGTATGTCGATATGGAAAACAACGCTTCATCACAATCATATAAACTGAATCTATACGTCTGGTGAAATAAACATCAAGAGAATGATATTTCAAGGTGGCTTTTTCTCTCCCTTATTATTTTGTATATCCCTAATAGCATTAACCAGCAAGCGTAACAGGATGGAATACGATATCTTAAACGAAAATAAGCCATGCATGAATTAAAGTTGTATGCTCGGAATGACAGTGAGATGGAAACTTTCCTGAAAACAGTAAAATGATTCAGTGATGATACAGGAATGGAATTCGGTTTGAATAATTGTTATAAAAACAAATTTTCCGAGGATCGCTACAAAAAAAAAACTTCTCTATTAGCTTATACCCTAAGGTAACAATCAATGATTTAGAGCAAAAATAAGCTTATAAGTACCTAGGTGTAAATGAAGGTGAAGGTATTCACCATAAAATATGAAGTGCGAAAAGAATACTATTTGCTGATTTTAAGAACTGGACTGAATTCTCAGAAAAGAATTATGGCCATTAATAGCCTTGCCATCCCAGTGGTTCAATATAGTTTCAACATCTTGAACTGGACATCAAACGAATTGTTTGTAAGACAAGAAAGCTTCTTTCTAAGCTATAATGGGATTGGTTAGGCTAATATTAATTAGCATAACCATACCACTATATATAGGCAGAACTCAAGATAGACTGGGAGAAAAATCAATTGCGCATGCTGACCAACTAAGATTGTGCCCAAACCATGAAGACTCGTAGACTGAAGATATTAAGGAGTCAAATGAATATAGAGAAGAACAAAAGAATGGTTCAGAAGAGACAATGAGTGCTCAAGGGTTTTCCGAGAAATCAGAAAACGAAACATTTGATATTGAAAAAGATCGAAATCTCGTATAATGAGAAATCCCCTTCAAACCAGAGAAAGGGGGGAGGATATGTAGGAGAAGCAATAGGTCAACTTATGAAGTTAAACCTAAAATGTTCCTGGAGGTGTAGTGGGTTTGATTAAGCTAATACTAATTAGCATAACCATCCACTATATATAGGCAGAACTCGAGATAGACTGGAAGAAAAAGTCACTTGAGATGACTACTACTACAATTTTGCGTGTACAAACTTCGTAGCATAAGCATAACATGCATCATCCAAAGGCTAGGTAGGTAGTGTGACTATAGTAGAAATCGAAAGATGATGATTATCATCATCATCATTATGATGATCATGATGATAATTAGAATAATAATAATAGTAATATTATAAAATCATGATGATGCTGATGATGATGGTGGTGGTGATGACAAGGTGCCAGTTGTTACTGGAGCACTGGAATCTGTCCTGAAAAAAAATTGTTAAAAAATACTCACAGAAGTGGAAATCAGAAAGAGAATTGGATCCATTGAGACAATCTTTTTTTTTTATTTGCTTTCAAGGCGTGGATAATTTTGATTCTTCACAATTCTTCATCTAGTCATTTGTTTCTCGAAGTAGTTTTTTGCTCTTCGTTGCTTTTATGATCATTGTCGTCAAGTAGGTTACTCCCGTTTCTTTTTCTGTCAACCCTATGAGTGAAAGTTTCTCCAAGCCTTCTTTCCTCGTTATGTACCAAAAGACTTCTTACTGTCTCTTTCTGGTCGTCAGAATCAAGTTCTTTTTGGTTCCTCATCTCCTTAAAATTTCCTCATTTCTCACAGACTCTTGTCATTGTCTTGTCAGTAGTATTCTTATTAGACATTGGTTGTTCATGTAATGGATTATCAGTTATAGTGAAATGTATGAGTGCTGAAACAGATTAGTTTGATTTGGCCTTGTTAGTTAGATAGCCCACCATAAGAGGGGTATAAAACAAGAAAATCAAATTGTAAAGTGAAAACAACACATTTATATACATATAAATCAATTAAGGTCTTTAAAAATAAAATTAATGTATTTTGGTTGATACATGGTCGTCAAAATATTCGTAGTAGTCCTTGCAAGAATGAGTTTATGTGTACGTAGGCAGGAACGTATGTGTGGATGTATGTATGTATGTATATATGAGCGTTATCGTAGGTTAGGAATGTCTTTGAAGTAATCGCTCAGTCTTAAAATGTTCCGTTCGTTTATCAACTATAAAAGAGGTGAAGGAGAAAGGTAGAGATAATAATAATGATCATTTGAAGTTTGTCAAGGAACGTGTTAATACGCTCGTCTCCTCTCTGGTGACAGGCGAACTTGCCCGTCTTTTATTTTGTTTGTAGGGCTTGAAAAGGTCATTTGGGAATTCACTTCCGGATATGATTCGGGCCTTTCCATTGGACGACGAACAAACTTCGCGTCGGCTCGTGAAAAGGTCCGTAAAAGAATTTGTTTCTGAGAATTGAAGATTATTTGAATTTTGTTTTTAAATGTTTCCCAATTTTCTATTGCCCGAAAAATATTTCACATTAAGATGTGAAAATTTCACGAATTTTCTTTTGGGTCGCTTTTGCGTGGGTGTTAAGCAAAATTTGTAAATTCGAGTTTTTTGGGTTTTTTTTTAAATTTCTAACAAAATAAATGAGTCAGTGCTTAGCATTTGAATTTTAAATCTAGATCTTGTTTTGTTCACTACATACAACAGTTTGTAAAAGCACATTTTCAGCACGGCTTCTAGAAAAAGGTGAAGAAAGAGGAAAATATTTATACTTAGACTTTCAAAATGGACGACCCCCCACCCCCCAAAAAGTTGGAAATACTTTCGTAACGTGTAAAGGAGTGTCACTTGTAAGGGGAGGTTAAGGTGTCCACGAAGGAATTATATTTGGCGATTCTCACCCGACAGTGAACTCGACGAAAGATGGCGTCAGTGGGAGTAATAATAAATGGGTAAGCAAGCGAGCTAGAAGAAGCTTGCGTGTTAAGAAACAAAAAACGTGTTTTATTTGGACTCAAATTATGTCTCACCTGTCAAAACTTGGACTGGGTTAAAAAACTGGAGTAAATTTGAGCTCGCTATGGGAACTCTCTCTCACTCGACTCCAAAAAGTAATTTAAGAAGAAAAAATAAATTGGTCAGTGGTGAAAATGATGTGTAGTTATTTCACTTGATTGATATTTGGAGAATTAACGACTTACAGGAACTGATAAATATGCAAGGACATTAAATATAGCCGAAGCAGATAGATAGATAGATAGATAGATAGATAGATAGATAGATAATGGATAGATAGATAGATAATAAAAGACTGGGATAGATAGATATTTTTCACTCAGAAAGAAAAAGAGACTGACTGACAGATAGATAGATAGATAGATAGATATAGCCAGACAATATATATATATATATATAAATATATATATATATATATATATATATATATATATAAAGAGAGAGAGAAGATAGATAGATAGATAGATAGATAGATAGATAGATAGATAGATAGAAAAAAAGACTGGGATGGATATTTTACACTCAGATAGAAAGGAGACTGACAGACATATAGATAGATAGATAATAGATAGATAGAATGATTTTAAGATAGATAAAGCAATATATATATATATATATATATATATATATATATATATATATATATATAATGATAGATAGATATAGCCAGACAATAGATAGATAGATAGATGGATAGATGGGTAGATATGGCCAAGCAATAAATAGATATATAGATAGATATATAGATATATAGATACATAGATATAAATTAATTCTGAAATGTGTACGCCCAATCAAATTGATAAATTCATTCCCAGAGAAATAAATTGGCCTAATGCACTATAATAGATTTCCTCATGCATGTCAATATTTATTTATTTTTTTAATGATTTCACCCAAAGAAAGGCAATAAAGCCACTAACACGTTAAGGGGGTAATTGAGTGTGAAAGAATATGAGAAAAAAACATTATTAAGGAGAAAGAACAATAAAAGGACAAGAATTAAGAGAACAAAAGATAAAGATTGATATTGCCTTTAATTTTTTAAAGATTAAAATTGACTGGAAATAAAGTTGGAATAAAGTTTACTGTTTCATCTAGCATTTTTAACTGTAAAATTATGAGACCTAACTTCCAATTTAGTACTGCGCTTAAATTCGTAAAATCGTGCTACCAAAGAGGAAATATAATCAGAACAAATGTCATAAAGACGTTTATAGAACAGGCATAGCGAAGCTACGTTACGACGGCGGAAAACTGAATGAAGCCGAGATGCCAGGTCAGGAAAAATAACATTGCAAATACTTCTTTAGATTTTATCATGAATCAATAAATACGTATTTTCACATTACAAAGTTATTAGTTTCTATAATGTTCAGAATAGTCTTCTACTATATGCCGTGTCCCTTCAGGACGTGGCCTATCTACAAACCAACCTATCCTTTGTAATTCTTAGAAAGATTTTGCCTTTTTAGCATTCCCCAAGTCCCTGTTCTGCTATCTATTTGCACAAGTTGTGTAATTTGTTAGCTATTTTCTCGTGTTCCTCCTTCCGTCACTGTCCTCTGAGTGTCAAATTCCCCAAGCCTTCTTCCGTCATTTTCTGTTACTTACATGATATACCTTTTCAGAATATAAATATGATAATAATGACTATAATTTATATTTCGTTGTTTCTTTTGAAATGACGTGTCACTTTAGGACGTAGGCGATCATAGATCCCCATATCTTATTTTTTGTTTATCCTCTGTGCAATATAATGAAACCACGGACAATATAATTAAGTGGTTTCCAATACCAATTGTATTCATACCTTTTCCAAATCCATTAGTGTAAAGTGAACGAAACAGATGATTTTCCATTTCCAGAGCTGAAAATCTATTCTGACGGTTATTTTTACGGGAATGGCTTGTTTGTTTATTTATTTCTTTATGTTTGGGTTAATTTATTTTATTTTTTTTTCATTTTCATTTTGTATTATTTATTCTTTTCATTTTTTGATGTTTTATTAACGTAGTAAAAAAATTTTTGGAAGGGGATTTACTTAGGTCGCTTATTTAATAGTTTGCTTTGGTCTGGTAAGATAATTAAAGCTATTTATTCGTCCAATTTTAAATTGCATCCCGTAGCCTATTCTAATATTTTGGCGGGTGGACAGTTTGTAATTTATTTATTTGGAGTGATTATTTTTACTTGTTTTTGCTTATTTATGCTTATTTTTATTAGTTCTGACGGTTATTTTAGCTATGCCCCAAGTTAATATTCACCGGGTAATACCTAAACTTCACTCCCACTACCCATATATTGTATAGAAAAGGATCGTCAGCTGCTTACAACTTCGAGCAAAATACATAAGTGGCGACCAGAGACATATGAACAGGAAATGGTCAGTATAAGCAGTACTTTACAACGTAACACCCTGCGTACGCGAGAGCAGATGGAAGTGTACAAGAGAATAACAACACTCAAAAAACAGCCTCGATCTTCCTACCGTACGTGAAGGGATTATCGGAAAAAAAATACAAAACATCTGTGGTTCATATAACATCGGAACGACCTTCAAAAGTGGTTCAACACTTCGCAGACATCTCTTCCGAGTAAGACCTTTCGGATGATTGAAGAAGTACATGAAAAAAGATTTCTCTATAATAATTTTGACTTATAAATACTTGTCTAGAGTAATTGAATATGATATTTGGTTCGTTCCTTTATGGGAATTTTTATATAAATAAATATCTCCTGACATATTCTCCAGCATTGGCTGGTTAACATCAATTTTATTGAGAAATATTTACATAATAAAATGTAGCGTAGCGTGTCATAGACAGATAGGAAGATAGATAGATATGAACAGACTGCGATAAGGAATAATTTAGATAGATATAAACAGACAGGGATAGATAGATAGATAGATAGATAGATAGATAGATAGATAGATAGATAGATATGAACAGACTGCGATAAGGAACAATTTAGATAGAGATGAACAGACCGGGATAGATAGATAGATAGATAGATAGATAGATAGATAGATAGAATATTGTTAGACTGCGATAAAGAACAATTTTTTAGAATGAACAGACCACATATGATAGATAGATAGATAGATGATATATAGATAAATGAACAGACTGCGATAAGAATTTAGATAGAGATGAACAGACCGGGATAGGTAGATAGATAGATAGATAGATAGATAATAGATAGATATGAAAAGTGTGAGATAGATAGATAGATAGATAGATAGATAGATAGATAGATAGATCGTGGTTAAATGAAAGATAAGTTTATAAATATTTTTTAGTGACGCTTCACGTTCCCAGAAGTATCTTCTTCAGATTAATAACCATTTATTGATGGAATCAGATTTTCGTTATCTCTGCGGATGGCAACCATTTATGCCTGTCTTAAATGAAAGTCTAAGCGGTTCTATAAGGCCAAATTAGCAGCTGATCTAAAAACAATTTCTACATTCTGTTGTCGACTGGGGCAGGATGAGATTCTTAATTTTAACGCCTCGAAAAACAAAAAATGGTCTTTTTTTAAACTTCTGAAAGACATCTTTCTTACCTTCCATCAGCAAAGATGTTGCGAATCTCAAGTAGAATGACACATTGCGCCTTCTCAGACTAACGTATTTCCGCTGAAATGAAGTGGAATTTTTATATTGAATCAATAGTTAAGTCTCCTGATCGGAAAGTTCGTTCCCTGTTTCGTGCTAGACATTTTTTTTTCGCTAGAAATTTATATTACACATTTATAATTACACCATTCTTCTGGGCATTAAATATTTCTGACAAATCTGGTCTGGTATTCCTGCAATATGTATAAAGATTCGTAATAAAATCAAAAGAAGAATTTACAATGTTATTAGTCTTGACCTGGCATCACAGATTCAGTCCCTTTCCCACCGAAGGAACGTAGCCTCCATGTGACTTTTCTATAAATATTTTCATGGTAATTTTTCTAATGAACTTTACTCTACGATACAGAGACTTTATGAATTTAAGCGCAGTACGAGATTGGCGGCAAGGTCTCATCATTTTACAGATGAACCCGTAAGTCCTATGCTAAAAGCTTCTTCAGTATCTGTCAATATTTCTTCTATTATATTTGTTGCTTATCGAACATAGTTTCGTATTGTGCTTCAAAAATTAAAATACAGTGTAAATAGTTATATTCTGTCTTCTTAATACTTGTTCTTTTATTGTTATCTCTCCTAGTGTTTTTCTCATATTCTCTAACATTAGGTAACCCCTTGCGTCTTAGTGTTTTTATTACCTTGCTTGAGGTAAATCGCACAGATGCAGGTCTGAAGCCCAAAGAAAAAAACCCGATACGAGTAACAACTAACTAACAAAAGAGCTCAATACAACCGTAGAGCAGACCTAGATACACCTAGTGAGCCAGACAAACCGACCTAGGTTTCACCTAAACGGATCGTCAGGGAAAATTTGGCCAAACTTTCCCTGACGATCCGTTAACGTGAAATCCAGGGTTTGTCTCAATCACTAAATATATATATATATATATATATATATATATATATATATATATATATATACCGTCATCCACAGACAGACTCTTTCGCTGTTTTTGTGCTCATCAGTGTGGCTAGACATCCGGTTGCCTCCAGCTAGGGCCTTTTAAAAGCGTAGTCGTTAGAAATCCACAGGTAATAGATTAATACATAGGAGCAGACATCTCTCCATGTCTAGTTGTCTCACTCTTTCTTTTCCCCCCATAAAAAAAAAATATTTTGAAATCTCTCTTTTCCGCGCTTATTTTTGAGACTCTTTCATTTTCTTTTTTCTCTCTCTTCCACCGATTTTCTTTTCTTTTTCTTTTTTGCTTTTTTTTTTTTTTTTGACGGCGCCTTGATGAATTTAAAATCCATTTATATTTGTCAATTTTTTTTAGTGTGAAGAGATTGGCCCCTGCTCCCATGAAATAAACTATTACCTAAATGGAATTCTAAAGATTCCGCTTTCATTACTATATTTCCTCTATTCTTACATTGAACTCCATTTGTATTTATATCCTCCTTAGCATTATCCCTACTATTAAGAATATATAAAGGTAAATGGTGGGATACAATTGTAGAATTATAGAATTGTGGGGGATACAAAACGGCATAACATTTCGCATGAAAACGTTACAGATACAGAAACGTTCAGCTTTAAATTTGCATTTCGATATCCGATGCATCGAGTTGTTAACTTAGCCTCATTCACATCCCATGCATCTCTTTGTTAACTTAGACTCATACGCATCCCATGCATGTAGTTGTTAACTTAGTCTCATTCCAATCCACTGCATCTACTTGTTAACATGGCCTCATTCCCATCCAATGCATCTAGTTGTTAACATAGCCTCATTCCAATTGCCTGCATCTAGTTGTTAACTTAGCCTCATACACATCCCATGCATTTAGTTGATAACTTAGCCTCATACCCATCCAATGCATCTAGTTGTTAAATTACCCTCATTCTCATCCCATGCATGTAGTTGCTAAATTAGCCTCATTCCCATCGCATGCATCTCGTTGTTAACTTAAACTCATTCCCATACCATGCATCTAGTTGTTCATTTAGAGCCATTCTCAACCCATGCATGTAGTTGTTAACTTAGCCTCATTCCCATCGCCTGCATCTAGTTGTTAACTTAGCCTCATTCCCGTCCCATGCATCTAGTTGTTAACTTAGTTTCATTCCCATCACCTGCATCTAGTTGTTAACTTAACCTCATTCCCATCGCCTGCATCTAGTTGTTAACTTAGCCTCATTCCCATGCCATGCATCTAGTTGTTAACTTAGCCTCATTCCCATGCCATGCATCTAGTTGTTAACTTAGCCTCATTCCCATGCCATGCATCTAGTTATTAACTTAGCCTCATTCCCATCCAATGCATCTAGTTGTTAACTTAGCCTCATTCCCATGCCATGCATCTAGTTGTTAACTTACCCTCATTCCCATGCCATGCATCTAGTTGTTAACTTACCCTCATTCCCATGCCATGCATCTAGTTGTTAACTTAGCCTCGTTCCCATCGCCTGCATCTAGTTGTTAACTTAGCCTCATTCCCATCCCATGCATCTAGTTGTTAACTTAGCCTCATTCCCACCGCATGCATCTAGTTGTTAACTAAGCCTCATTCCCATACCATGCATCTAGTTGTTAACTTAGCCTCATTCCCATGCCATGCCATGCATCTAGTTGTTAACTTAGCCTCATTCCCATGCCATGCCATGCATCTAGTTGTTAACTTAGCCTCATTCCCATGCCATGCAACTCGTTGTTAACTTAGCCTCATTCACACCGCATGCATCTAGTTGTTAACTAAGCCTCATTCCCATCCAATGCATCTATTTAACTTAGCCTCATTCCCATCTAGTTGTTAACTTAGCCTCATTCCCATCCCAAGCATCTAATTGTTAAGTTAGCCTCATTCTCATCCCATGCATGAAGTTGTTAAAAGCCTCATTCCCATCCCAAGCATCTAGTTGTTAACTTAGCTACATTTTCATTCAGCTTCTTTTCGCTTTTCTATTGATTACTCGAGAGTGAGTGAGATGGGAATAGACCAAGTGAATTCAAGTAAATGACTTTAAAATGCTCTCAATGGCTTAATTTGAGAAGAAAAATTCCACGAGTGAAACATTTACTAGAAAATGAGAATAGATAATCCAACGAAAACTATAAAAGCAAAACTTTAAAAACTGTAGCAGCAGTAGCAGCAACTTGGGCGATGGCGACGACAGCGAAGGGCTATGATGTTTACCAACGATGACATTTTCGATATATTTCTTTAAATAATATTTTACAACCAAGTGCAATTCATCCCAGTATATGTGCAAAGCCATGAGCTTCATAGCTATTCCCATAAAAACTCACTTTAGACTTTTGAATAATGAAGAGATTAATTACTAAATAAGGAATATGGGAATGTTTAATTTGAGATTTAAACAATTTTTGTCGCTTAATCCCTCGGATACAACACGAAGTGCCACAAAGAGGTAGTGCTACCCTGAATCAAGAGGGTGGCTATTGGAAGACTGTATGTCTGACAACAGGACTCTGTACCATGACATAGTCATTGCTGTCAGACGATTTCTGTGACCACACCACCCCTACATCTGGCCACCTAACTCCCCAGACTGAAGCCCCCTTGATTGTTATGTGTGGGGTGCAGTTGTGCGAGAAAGCAACAAAACTCCTTGTAACACCATAGATGAACTGAAGGCAAGGGTTACGGCAGCATTTACTAACTTAAACAAGGAGACCCCCCAGAAGAGTTGTAAGAGATTCTGAAGTCGCCTGGAGTCCATGGTTGAAGCCAATGCTGATTTTATGGAATAAATTTACTCTTTTCTTTTCAAGATATTTTTGTGTAAATTTTGTAAATATATCAGTTAAAATGAAATGTTAGTGTAATTTTATTTTTGCGCAATTTAGATGAAAATTTATCCATCGCACACTATATATATCCATAGACAGACAGTTTCGCTGTATGACAGCTCATCAGTGTGGCTAGACGTCCGGTTGCCTCTAGCTAGGATCGAAACCCAACTGAATTGGTGCTAGTTGGGGATTTTACCACTAAGCCGTTGGCGCAACCAACCATTTTACCAGCACGCACACACACACACACACACACACACACACACACACACACACACACACACATATATATATATATATGTGTGGGGGGGTGCATTGCTAATGATTTATCTGACACTAAAGCTCGCTTCAGAAATCAGATGAAACTCTGTCGCAATATTTCCATGGCAAATGTTCAAGCGAAACTACATTCTTTATTTCCACCAGATCTCAATTTCAAAGAGAGGACACACCATGCAATGCATTCAGGGTCCATCATATTTATTCCATTCGTATTCCATTTGTAATGAGGAAGTTCTACTCAGACAGCTTCTTCCCCAGAACTGTTACATTCTGGAATAGACTCCCGTGAGAATGCTTCTAGGATCCCTATAATTTCTTCAAGTCTAGGATCAACCATTATCTGTCCTACATATAACATGCACTACTTACATCCTCCCTACAATAACGTCAGTTAGTAAGTTTCTACCTTGATTGGCTCTTGGGCCTGGTATTGGGAGAACGGTTGTAAAAAAGAAAAGAAGATTTGAAAATACGGTAGAAATGGGATTGAAAGCCTTTAAAGGTCAGAAATTGTTAATGATAAAGGGTTATTTTATGCATTATTTATGGTGTGGCTACTTTAATATATATATATATATATATATATATATATATAGAGAGAGAGAGAGAGAGAGAGAAAGAAAGAG